ACCTGGTGGACTGAACCTGAACCAGATGGCCCTCCTTGCTGCAGAGAGAAAGCATGCCCTTGCTAAGGCCCAGGGGTACCTAATTTAACCCTGTACCAATCCCATGGCACCACTTGAAGTGACCTGGACCCAAGAAGAGAGTTCGGGACAGTGATGATTCGAAGAGATGAACTGTTTTCCCACAGGGTAGATGAGTCCCTTCTGCCCTGGGTCATCCCTGTTTTTTTTTTTTCCCAGGGGATCAGCAGACATGGCCAGGTGCCCCAGATCCCCCTTATTTCTGTCTTCCAGCCTGCATCTCATCCATCTCTTTCCCTGCTTCTCAGTACCACCCTTCTCCATTTACCTACCTCCCAAAAGCCCGGACCAGCTCACCAATGCACAGACTAAAACTCCCACACTGCACTGCCAGCGTTCCTGTCTCAAACGGGGAGTGCCAAACCCAGAGTTTGAGGACTAGGCTAAGACTTTCTCTACGGGTGGTACTTCTTGCCTGAATACAGAGACCTCCCTTGCCTTCCTATGGGAGCAGGCAGAGTGCGAGAGAGAAGGAGTTTCGAGCGAGGAAGTAGGATTTGGGCTTAGGCCAAAACGCTAGGTTTAATCTGTAATGAAACAGCCAAGTGTTACTGCCAGAAAGAGCCACTGATGCTCCCCTAGCCAGCTCCAAAGTCTGCTTTGGCTCAGCAATGAGCATCCAGTCTCATTTTTAAGTGGATGCACTAAAACCAAGATCTTCAGGACCCCCTTCCCAGCGTAGGCTGATGCTGTGGCTTCCCTCCCTCCAATACACCCCAGCAATTAGCTCTCTGGCTTTGCTGGGCTGCATGACGAATATGTCCGGCAAACATCCCCTGAAGCCAAAGCCCGATTAGAGGGCTCAAACAGCTGCTCCCTCTGCAAGGATCTGGCAGCATCCAGAGCAGGGCTGGAGGCCAGGGGAAAGCAGGGAGGAAGGGAGGGAGGAGGGAGGACACCCCTCTGGAAAGAATAAGGCTGAGCCCGTTCCAGGAAATGCTGCAACGCCAGATGCAGGAGGAAGTTGAAGCAAAATAGCCTGACCTGGGAAGGGTTATTCATGAGCTGTCCCTTCAGCCTTGTCTTTTCGCCCCTGCCCAGAGAAATCTCAAGCAAGAGGGAGATCACTGCAGAGACTGCCTTTTTTTTTTTTTTTTTTTTTTTTTTCCCCTCCCCACAAGGCAACCTTGGGCTTTGGGAGCATGTGGAGAAGCAGAAAGGATGATGCCAAGTCCTGGTTGAGAAGGAGGGGATGCACACACAAGGGATGGACTGTTTAGGTCTGTATTATTGTCATGTAAATACATGGGAATGAGATGCTGCCTCTGCCAAAGCTCATGCCCACTACCCCACTACAGTTACTTTTCACTTACAAGTGCTTTGCTTGAAAAAGTTAGTTCCTATGTATCACTTCTCTGCATAGATCATAAGCGACAGCCTTTCTGGGAAAGCAAACAGTTGTTTTTAATAGCTGATGCCTTTTATTTCCACTCTTCACCCACTCTGCTGTCACAGCAAGGCTGGAGGCATGATGAGCTCTTGCATTTTATCAGGCAGTTGCAGCTGAAACTCTCCAAAACAAACCATGGCCATGGCCCTGAGAGATAAGAGAGGTGTGTACGCACCATCCCCTCCCTGCAGACAGCGTCCCTGGGACCAGCAGACTCCATTTCTGGGTCAGGAAATCTCACAGAAGAGCATGTGCCAAAAGCTGAGAGTATCCCTCTGTTTGTTTTTTCTAAACAAGAATAAAATGTGGTTGCCTAAGGAAAAAAAAAATTGTTGGTTGTAATAGAAAGAGGATGCTGTAGGGGCTTAGTGTGGCTTAATAACTGTATCGTGCAATTACCACACAAGCAGAGCAGTTGATTGGGACTTTGCGGACATTTTGGACCCTACTGAATACTGCATTAAATTGGAGAAGCCGATGGTGTTTCCCATTTGCTCTTGCACACAGCGAAGTGGTGAGATAGATCAAGATCCCTAACATCCAGGTGCATTTGCTCTCTTGCAGAAGATGCTGGGACCTTTTGCTGGGCTCTGCCCCTTAGAAAGCTGCTATGAATTCAGGCAGAATTGGGTCCAGCAACTAAAACTGTCGCTTTGCATGGGCTGGCTGGCACAAAGCAGTTGTTCTCCCCGTGGAATTCAGTCACTTTTGCCAAAACGGACAACTGAAAGAAAGAACCTGGAGAAGTCCTTTAGTGAGAGAAGGCTTCTGGGAACTTCAGCAGTAACCAGGGCAGATGTGAGCTCAAATTCTTTTTTTTTATGGTGATTTTATGGTCAAGGCAGCTAGAAAGGTCTGATCAAATGATCCTACCAGACAGTGGCATCAAGGAGTCTGCTATTGCTCAGCACAGACTCCCTCCGGTGCCGAAATTGCTGGCAAAGTTCCCTTTGTTTGGCGCAGAAACAGTGTAAGAGGGACCATCTCCACGTGTAGTTAAGCTCACAGGACCTTGTTTGGACGTGGGACCTGCTTCCAGCACACACTCCCCACTGCCAGCCCATGCCAGAACAGATCCCTGTTCAACCATCCTCTGATAACTGCTTTACCTTTAAAGGTCCCTTCTAACCCAAACTATTCTATGATTCTATGAAACCGCAGAGCTGGCTGGTTGGAAAGAGCTGGAATTCACTCCAATTTCAGCAGGGATGGGCTTGGACTAGATAAGCATGCCACTTTGCAAGTGAAGACCAGGAGGTCCAGAAAGCTTTCTTAGAAAGACCTCATGCTCTCCAGAGCAAGGCAGCAAGAGGGTGATACCTTGCTGGATGACCTCAAGTCTTCCTAAGCAAGAGAGGATGCAACATGCCTGAACACCAAGGGCTGCACGTGAGCTGAAAGCCAGAAAAGCAGATGGAGAAAAGCTCTGAGCCGTAGATACTCAGCAGAAGACGAGCACGCTTTGCCCCTCTATAGTTGGATCCAACCCTTAGACATGTGGCTGAATTAAAGTGTGTGTATCTGGATGCACACCAGCAAGGGAGTGTCAATACAGCCTTTAGTACCAGAGAAATTTGTTCAGAAAAAGGCATCACCTTATCTGCTATATAAATGGGATGTGCAAGGTGTGTTCATGTTGCCCCCCACAGCGATACCAAAGCATGGTGGGCCCTGTCTTCAGAAGGCAGCTGTACACAGAGCATCTTTCCATTCCAGTGGATAAGGGGAATAAACGAAAACACACAGAGTTTTGCACAAACCCTGCATCCAGGCAGAGCAGAGGGAAGCCAGACCTCCTCCCACGAGGAGCCCGATGGGGTGATGGGGGCCCAGCCCCTCCTGCCACACAGAAAGAGCCCGTTCAGCTCCATCCCTCTCCTCACACAAAGCCTTTTTGTCCACCCCGCCAGACCGCCCTCACCCAGACAGACACAGCACTGTCTTGCAAAAGGCCAGCTGATTTTCTGGGCTGCTGGTGGGGACAAAGACGACAAACGACAGCTCAGGCGACCCTGCCACGCTGAAATGCCACCAAGCTGTGTGCGAAACAGCATGGGCTGGGCAGCGAGGGCTACTTCTCCCCACAGGCAAGGAAGGGAACCCGGGTGTGTTAGATGCTGTGATATTGCCTCTCCCCACCTTCAATTATTGTTGCTTCCTGGAACGCCTTGTGTTTCATGGCGGTCAGAGAAGTGGCCTCATGGTCAAATCCAAGCAGGTGGCCATGCCAGGACATACAATTACCCAAGACATAGTGCCCTCAGGCCCTGATGTCCATCTTTTGGGCAGGCACTGAGGATAGAAAAAGGGGGACAGGCATCACTGGGGACAGGCAATGTTACTCCCAGCCTGCCACAACCTGCCTCCATGTCAGACACAGCAGCGTGGAGGACACCGTGATTTTTGCAGAGGACATGCAGAGGACACTGGCTTTGCACAGAAGAGGAAGGATGACTATGAGCCAGCACCGTACGCTGGCAGCCCAGAAAGGCCCCGTGTGCTGGGCTGCACCCAGAGCAGGGGGGGCACAGGGCCAGGGGGGGATTCTCCCCCTCTGCTCCGCTCTGGGAGACCCCCCTGCAGGGCTGGGTCCAGCTCGGGGGCACCAACAGCAGAAGGACACGGACCTGCTCCAGCGGGGCCAGAGGAGGCCACGGAGATGCTGGGGGGGCTGGAGCACCCCCTGTGAGGACAGGCTGGGAGAGTTGGGGGGTTCAGCTGGAGAAGAGAAGGCTCTGGGGAGACCTTAGAGCGGCCCCCCAGGGCTGAAAGGGGCTGCAGGAACGGGGGGAGGGACTCCTCATCAGGGGGTGTAGGGATAGGATGAGGGGTAAAAGTTTTAAACTGAGAGAGAGTAGATTTAGATGAGATATAAAGAAGAAATTGTTCCCTGTGAGGGGGTGAGGCCCTGTCACAGGCTGCCCAGAGAAGCTGTGGCTGCCCCCTCCCTGGAAGGGTTCAAGGCCAGGCTGGACGGGGCTTTGGGCAACCTGGGCTAGTGGAAGGTGGCCCTATTGTGGCAGAGGGGTTAGAACTGGATGAGCTTTAAGGTCTCTTCCACTCCAAACCATTGTGTGATTCTATGATGGGTTAGACCACCTACCTTTCAAAGTCCCCAGAATCACCTCATTTACCCAAAGCTTATTTTCTTTTCCCTTTCCAAATGGACCACCAAGAGTATTCAGAGACAACACTTTGCCCTGCTGAACCCACCGGGCTTAACAAGAGAACCCAACACCAACCTGGCCTGCAAACCATCTCTCTGTTTTATGTATGGGGAAACTGAGTCACAGAGAAGCCTTCTTTGCTCTTGAGCCACACAGGGGGCAGAACAGCCTGGACCTGGGTGCAGCAGGTCTCCCTGGCATCCCAGAGGCTCACGATGCTGAGCGTGGGCAAATAAACCCTGCTGGGGAGAGCAGATGTTGGCTGGGGCTTGGCACCTTTGGCGAAGGATGCGCTGTGCATTGTCAGGGATGTCTGAGAGCAGGGATGAAGCAGTGGCGAGGTGCAAGGGGACAAGCACACTTACTTTTGGCCGCTTCCACTGGATGCCCTGGATCCTGGACTTGTAAAACAGCGAGTCGTCGTTGGCAGGGAAAAGCGGGTCCTCAAAGAGCTGCTTCCGCCTCTGACACTCCTTCTTCAGGGAGGCGTAGCGCTGGTTCTCGTATGGCTTCACCGAGGAAAACATCCTTCCCCACCGGCCCTGGGAGGACAGGCAGAGCGGGAGTGAGATGGGGCAGTGTCTGGCCAGGGACACTCAATCCTCCTCTGCAGCATCTGGGCAGCAGGACCAAAAAGTTGTGGCTGGAGACAACCACCCAGCCTCTGTCTGTGACTTCCCCCAGATCTGGCTGTCCTACATCACTAGACCCCACATTTATAGTCCCATGAAGTACCTCTGGCTCACTCCAGGAGGTATCAGCATGTTCCATCACCAGTTTAAACAGGCAAGGAAAATCCTGCATCCAGATGAGGAGAGATGGAAGACTCCTCAAAGCTTGGGTGTACCTTGCAGATCCCTTGGACTTGGGCCGCCTATTTCCACCAGAGCTGGCCAAACACCCCTAAAGCAGAAAATGTAGGAGATGATAACTGGTGTCCCACCTTTTAGTGAATTCGTAACTCATTTGGGAAAAAAAACAGCCTTTGGAGGAGAAGACATCCCCTGCAAGATGGGCGTGCACAGGTTTTATGGGGGCTGAGCCCTACACAAACCACTCCCACCATGCAGCCCTCAATTACAGACATACATGTCATGATTCCATCAGAGACGCCAGTTTATTGGTAGGCTTTATCAGATCTGGTTTTAATTAAAAAAAAGCCTCCTGGCAGAGTGCCACATGTTCCTGGATTAATTATTCTGTCTTGACAAGCATCTAGCTTCCAGGGCAGAGATGTGAATTTAGCAATCCAGAAGACAGCAGGAAACCTTTGCCTGAATGCCCCCCAGAGAGAGAGCAGCACCTCTCCATCACCGCTCCATCACCCCTGACATTTGGTCACTGGGTACCAACCGCTTCGGTCGGGTCCTCATCCCTCCACCACGCAGGTCAATTCACCCTGGTCCCATAGCAAGCACGAGGGAAGGGGGTGCTCTACATTGTTCCTCTTTACTAAATCACAGACCTTCTTCCAAAGCTCCTTCCATAAAGTTTCTCTGTATTTATTCCTAACAACCACATACAGTCCTTCTCTCTCCCCAAAATGCGATGTCCTTTCCAAAATGTTGACCATTAGTGACCTTAGCGTGGAAACGTCTAGCCTGGTTTCCTAAAGAAATGAGGTTCTGCGTGCCATGTAATCCCAACTGTCTCCAACACCACCCGTAGTAAAATGAAGGGTGCCCCATCCAGCGGGCAGATGCATTCAGCAAGCTGCCCTAACTCATTGCTCCCGGTGAGACACAGAGAAACCACATGCTTGTGGTATCATCACATGTGATAGGACAAGGAAGTTGCAATAAATGCTAATTGGAAGCAGCTAATCTAGAAACATCCAAAATCCCAGGGATTATACAATCACATACAGTGGGGCATCAATTTAGGAGCGGTGCCACATCCCTTGTTAATGAATTGCTAGAGTTAGCTGAAGGAAAGTAGGTGTCTGAGAGCTAAACCAAGGCCCATGCTGATCAGAGCAACCCTTTGAGAGCATCACCCAGCCTCCTCTCATCTGGAAGAGATGAAAACACTTCAGTTCTGCAGAGCAGAAGAGCAAAGCATAGCTGTTAATCGACAGTATTTATCAGCCTGATGAGCAGCACAAGTGTTCATCACTCAGAGCTTAAGTGAACCCAAATTAACCCCCTTGCTGGCTGCTCCACAGGTCTCTGCTGCTGAGGATCGGGTGCTAAAACAGCTTGTGGGGTGCTTTGTGCCATCCAGCCACCTTTCTCCAAATCACCCAGCATGTCCCAGCCCTATGCCCTGAGATGCAGCGACTAAATAACTGTGCAAAGGGACCGTTAGGCCTTTAATTAAACACGATCTGAACTGCGAGAGAGGCATCACCCTGGGTGGACTGCGTAGGATGGACTGGGGTAACAGGTAGATGTATATCCCATGAGGAGACCATTGGCACTGGATGGCCAACAACCCACCTCCCCCGAAGTCTCTCTACTCCCATGTCGTCAATGTGGAGGAAGAATCACAGAATAATCTAGGTTGGAAAGGACCTTGAAGATCATCCAGTCCAACTGTTAACCCAGCACTGACAGTTCCCAACTACACCAGATCCCTCAGCACTATGTCGACCCGACTCTTCAACCCCTCCAGAGATCCCGGGGACTACCCCCCTGCCCTGGGCAGCCCATTCCAACACCCAACAGCCCCTTCTGCAAAGAAATGCTTCCTGATATCCAGTCTAAACCTTCCCTGGTGCAACTTGAGGCCATTCCCTCTTGTCCTGTCGCTTACTACTAGGTTAAAGAGGCTCATCCCCCCTCTCTGCACCCTCCTGTCAGGGAGCTGTAGAGGGCGATGAGGTCTCCCCTCAGCCTCCTCTTCTCATACACAGTGAGCGTTCCAGTGATAATCTTCCAGGATTATTAATCTGAGATTTTATAGTTTATAACATTTCTGCTTGCAGGCCAAAGATGTCTGGGACCTTGCCTGCATAAGGCCAGTTACAGAAGTATTAATTCATACAGGAGCCTTTGAAGGCAGCTCAACAATGCACTGAGGTGCTGGGGTGTAAAGGGTTTACAGCGACGCTCATGGGATTTTCTCCTTGGCATCATGACCAGTTCCCAGATGCTACAAAGAGGCCCAAGTGCCTCACCTGCCCTCAGAAAAGCCTTAAAAATGAACGGCCCAATATCAAAACCTGAAGAGTAGACCACATTTACTCCTTGCAGAAAAGCAGCCAGCCTCACTGAGCAGTTAGGGAACCAGTCAGGTAGTCAAAACATCCATCCATCCATCCATCCATCCATCCATCCATCCATCCATCCATCCATCCATCCATCCAGCTAGGAGGACCAGGGAACGAGCGAGTCTCTGGACTTTCAGCAGAGAAAGAGGGTGAAGGGCAAGGGAGCTGTCCCCAGGAAGGTCACTGGGACATCTGGGCAGTGAATGAGCTCCTTCTGAGTGACAGTCAGGCAGGACGTTCACAGTGACAGCACTCACTGCTGCAGAGAGACACGGGGAAAGCAGCTCTGCTGGGGAAGGAGGGTTGGGAGCTGCCTGCTGCACGAATACAACAGGCTGAGAGAGGAGGAGGATGCTGCTATCTGAGATACAAGATGAATTGCTCGGACTAGTGCATGAGTGGCCTGACAGATGGGAAAGGACATTTCCACTGGAGGTTGTGCAGAAAGAACCAGCGAGATTTAGGAAGAGAGCCTGGAGAGGAGGAGAGGGAGGTCTGGCGCCTTTCTAAAAGCCACGCTCGCGTTAGGGCAGGAGTTATGGGTTTGACGTGGGAGATGCTTGATGCTGCTCTGCAGCCTGTCCCGTGGCCAAGGGCTGGCACTTGGCTGCTCATTCATAAAATTACTGCTCCTCCCCAGGCAGCTCTGCAATGACAGCTTGGAGCTGCATTTTCCAGCACCAACTTCCACAAGACACCCTGGGCAATGCCTGTCCCTACAAGAACGGGGCTCCCAGTCCTCTCAGCCAAGCAGCTCCAGCCTTTCTTCCACCCAAATTTACCCGGGGGAAAAAGGGCCAACTCCTTGCCCTGCTATCCCACCCCACGGTGACTGTTACCTCGACAGCCATCTGTCCTCACTGCGGGGCTGCTCTCATATGGGAGGGTGGAGATGGATTGGAGTTGCAAAGGAAATGCCAAACAGAACGAGATGGCACACAGTTCAGGATCATGTTTTTAAAAAAAACCCTTGCAAAATAATTAAAAGGAAGGGGCGGGGGGAATGTTCTTAGGGCAGTGTTAAAATTCATTACACTCTCTAATTTGCAGCATTTCATGCTTGCCAGGCTGAACTTCAGATTTGCCACATTAAAATGCTCAAGGGCTGCCTAATTACTCTTTGCCTTCTTGCAGCAAGTTAGGACACTCCAGGAGCACAAGAACTGGGTGTTTTCATGCCTGGACCGAATTAACAGCCCTACACATGCACGTGTCCGTGTTTGCGTGCGAGCAGGGAGCGGTATCTGCGCTCACAACCCTTCGCAGAGATGAATTTTTGGAAACAGGTCTGAGCCCAACCTCAGTCCAGCCGCGAAGGAGTTAAACAGAAAACTATTTTGATGGAGGACTGAGCCAGACTTATGACTCCGGGGTGTTGTGGACTCCCCCTTTTCACCTCCAGCATCCTCCAGACATTCCAGCTCCTGCCAGCTGGTAACGATCACAGCTCAGCTCTGCAACCAGAAGGATTGAAAGTGCCAGCATCGGCCAGGACCAAATCTTGCTGAAAGGCTCTTCCTTCCTCCTGCACAAACCGCTTCCTCTCCTTCCCCTTCAGCTCGGAGGCTCCTGTAGCACAGCTAGCTGGCATGGGCTCACCACGCTTGTGTTATCCTAAGGCTGCACCCCGGCCAGGAGCAAAGGGCTCTTTGCTTGTAGATCCTACAGTTGTCTGCCTCTAGGTCAGACGAAACCCTTTGTCCTCGGAGGACAGGATCTGCTGGCCTGTTTTCTCCAGCTCTGTTCTCACTAAACAAGAGAAATCATTGCAAAGGCAGAGGATTGGCCAAGGAGAAGATGAAGCAGGACACAGGCATGTGTTTGCCCAAGCCCCAACCAGTTGCCATCTTATAGGGGCAACCTACAACACTGCAGCCCAACAGCAAGGTGTTCAAAGCAGCCAGGCTCTTTCTAAAAATGATATTTAAATTGGTTTTTTCCACCCTCCTTTGGTGTTTCCATTGACAGACATGGGAAAACACTAGGACTGCCCTTCCATCTACCAACACGAAAAGTCCAGCTCAGCAGAGGAAACACTGCTGACACAGGAACAGCTGTATAAACCCTTTCTCCACAACGCAGGGAAGATGCCATTGAACCATGAGTCACTTTCTACACCAAACACTTCATAATATAAGAAATTATATTTATAATATAATCTCATAATTATAGTCATCATTTAATCTCGTATTCATAATATAAGAGATAAGCACTTCATACCTCTTAGCCAACACCTCTATGAACAAAAAAGCCTCAAGTCATGGGCTACAAAGTGACAATCCTATTGAAAGGCCACCAGGACCGTCAGCACATGGTCCACAGCAGGTCTGA